AGTGTGATTGGCACAGGACAGAGCAGAGTTTAGGGCTGTTGTACATAGGGTCGCTATGAGTCGCAAGCGACTCGATGGCACATAACAACAACAACAGTTGAGTACGACTCATAGCAATCCTATGAACAAAAGACCTGAATCCTTTCTATAACTATTATCGTTTCTCCAAGTTCAGAGTTTCCAGAGGCACATGGTTTAGGAAGTGGATGCCACTTCTGCTTCCATAAAAAAATCCAAGAATACTACATTTAAGCAATTTAGCACATTATCATAATAAACATTACTTAGGATTCTGTAGGGTCTGGGATAGTATTAGGTCCACAGGGGTATGGGAGGTGTGTGGTGGTGACATCATTAGTAGGACACTTATGGAAGCCACTAGCTCAAATGTTAGGGCTGATGAGACCCATAATTTGTTATCTGCCAGAGTGGCATGTCCCGACACATTTTGTATTTCCTGGAGAAAATGCCTTTTTTTCCCCCTCCTAATTTCTGTCATCCCAACCCATTGGCAGGAAGAAGGAATCTCTTAAATCCGAAGGTTCCGTCCACACCCTTCATTCAAAACTTCCATTTTTTTCTAGCAACCCGTTCTGAAACGGTCGGTTATAGAATCAAGTTTTGGTCCAGATCAGAATGAAAGCAAACATTTCCTTTTCCTTTCCTTTTAAATAAAATCGTTATTTAACTTAATCGTTATTTTAAAATCGTTATTTAACTTAAATCGTTATTTTACTTAAACTCCAACGGTAAGGAGACATAACAAGTCCATTCCACAAAGAGAGTTAAGTACTTCTTCCTTGACCCCGGGTAATTCCACAGCGGGGTGGTGATGGGCGGCAGCCGCCCGGGCTCCCACAGCACTTTCTGAATGGAGCGTCCAGTGGAACTTGAATTTGCAACCGGCCGGCACAGAGCGGCCAGGGGAGGCGGCCGCACGGAGAGGGTGGCGGGGCGCCGGCAGGGATTGGTCACCCGGGCGCCTCGGCCCCGCGGCGCCTGCGCAGTCCTTCGCTCGCGCGGCCCATCCCCAGTCCGCCACCGCCCGATCGCGGTGGCTGCTCCCTGAAGACTGATCGGGCGGTAGCCCGCGAGCCGGCCTGTGAGCAGCCGGGCGGCCAGACTGTCAGCCCGGTCAGCTCTTTCCCGCGAAGGGAGGAGAGGGAGACTTTCTCGGCCTCGAGAATCTTCTCAACCTCGCAGCCGACCCTGGCCGGCGAGCAAAAAGTTAAGGAGCCGCGGGACGCTTTACCGGTGCCTCCGCCGCCATGGCTGCCATGATGGATCGGAAGTGAGCCTCAGGGCGACGGCTGCCGGCGCAGCGCCCGCCGTCTCCGCGTCTCGGCCGCCTTCGCCCGGGAAACACTGCGCGGAGCACCGCTGAACCCCCCCTGTCCTCCCAGCCGCTGCTCGCTGGCGCCCCAGCCCCGAGCGGCCCGTGCACGCTTCCTTCCAGACTGAGCGGCGGGGAGTGGCTCCCGGCCTCCGGCCCCGGCCCCGAGAAAGATGGCGGACCCAGCCGAGTGCAACATCAAAGTGATGTGTCGTTTCAGACCTCTGAATGAGTCCGAGGTGAACCGCGGCGATAAGTACGTCGCCAAGTTTCAGGGAGAAGACACAGTCATGATTGCGGTGAGTAAACCCCCTTCCCTTTTTAATCCCGGTCCCGTTCTCTATAGGGCTCAGAGTTCAGTGAAGTGGTGGAGTGCAGAGTGACGAGGGAACAGGGGTGTCCCCGACCCTCCAGGGCGGGTTTGCGGGTTCCGCTGACCCCGGGGAGGAGCGCTGCGCAGCCGCACGGGTTTTCCTGGCTCATCCCCGCCCCGGTCGCCGGCGCCCGGAGACGGGAGGCGCCGAGTCACAGCCTGGGACACTCCCCCACCTGGGGCGCTGCTGGAACGTGCTGGGAGCGCATTCAGCGTCCGTCTGCGGGTGTTTACGTGTGCGCGCAGTTACTGTTGCTGATGCTGTTGGTGTTTTGGACAACCTCCAGATTTTACCATTCATAAAATATGTAAGGTTAATTTAGAACCTCACCTTTAAAACATCGAGCTGCAAACATAGCCCAGTGGAGAACCTTAAATATAATCAAGATTCATAATATCATAGAAATCTAGAAACTACATGTGTCTACACAGGAGGAGAGAAAAACAGGTGAATAGCACATATACCTGCAACCGTAAATGTTCACCCACTCACCTTTTTCGCAATGAATGACTTTTTAATAATTACAAATAGCAAATGGAGGACGCCAAAGGAACAGTGAATGTTCTTTTGAAATCATAGTGATAAGTTTGAATACTTTTATCAAATTCACTTGGGTCCAAATAAGTACTCACAATGTCATCCTTAATGGATTTTAAGGGGTAATCGCCTAAGTGTTAATTTTTTTATGTATCATAAACAAAATGCACTGCAGTAGCAAACTTTTAAGGGAAGATAAAGTTGTACAGTGAAGTAGATTTATAATTTTATTATTCGATTTCTACTTCTACATTAAAGTTAAGAGTCTATTATATAGAGGAAAAATTATTTTGGTGATCTCAGCGATGGTGAGTGACCCTATGTAAGATAAATGTAGTTAGAGTTGGCTGATCATGTCACAAAGACCAGAATGTGGGGTTGATGTGTTGACTTTTCTCCCTTCCTACCTCACGTGTTGAAAGGTCTCAAAATGACATTCCACAGTTAGTTCAGACAGATTAAAAATGGCTAGTAATAGTGCATACAAAGCAGTGATCAGTGCCTACAAATAAAAATTCACTTGTCTCAGTAATGGTGCGAGACTTTTTCCCCTCTATTTCTGCATTGTATTTCACTACAGATGTCTGCTATGTTGGTTTGTCATATTGTTTGAGAAGTTTAGTTTAGAAGTAGGTCAAAGAGGCCTAAGAGTTGATGTTGATGGAAAGCACTGACATAAAACACAGAGCTAATGTTTTGTAGGGCTTTCTGTGAAGGCTTTCATAAAAACTGCCATCCATAGAAAAGGAATGCCTTTAGCTCCATGTTGCCCACTGGGAAACAAGTCAGTCAGTAACAACTGCCAACTACTACAGTGTGAAAATTCTCAGGCTACTTGCTTTGTTGTTAGCAAGTCCCCATGAAAACTCTTAATTACTCAGTTGCAACAGTGGTTGACATATCACACTTTCTAGTGAATGTCTTATTTCTCCAGTCTTCTTTTGTGTTTACAAAGTATCTAAGTATTAGAATCTTTTAAATTACTAACATTAGCATTTGCTCTAAGTTAGGTCCTTGGGGGTGTTGTTTATTGTGTATTTTGTTTCAAAAATTTCCTTAATGTAAATACATAGAAAAGACATTAGAAGCAGTGGATAAGTGAGTTGTTAATCACTGTTGAATGGTTGATGTTTAGGTAAACTGGCAAGCATTTCAGTCAGCTTTAAAAAATACCTACATGCAAAATATATGTTTCAGTAGGTAATAATTTTCAGAAGGAATTTTTTGCACATCTTCAAACTCTTTATTTCAAGATCTCATTGTTGTGCAATTTTTAAATGAATTATGTTGCTTTCTAAAAAAGATTTTGGGGACTTAGAAGGGCAGCTTAAGGGAATGGAATGAGAAAATCACTAGGTAAGATCTCTTGGCACTGTGGGGTTCTCTATTCAAAAGAAAGAGTTTAGTAGGCAGTAGCTGCAATGCAGTATTTAAAACTAATTGTTTTTAGAAGAATTCTAATTGTCTTCTAAGTTCAATTTCCAGTACTGTCATTAAAGCATTCCCTGTTATTCACGTATTTGGTAACTATTACCCATGGCAGACAAACCTTGTAATTTTATAGTTTTTCTTTGTGTATTTTGCAGATTTCTTTGTAATTCTGTTTTGAAGTTCTATAAATGCTGTTGAGTAGTGTCAGACCCTCTAGCAGGTTATCAAAGATAAACATAACACATGGTCGGAGATTGCCCATCCTTCTCCCATGGAGCAGCTGCTGGACTTGACCTTAGTGCCTTCGGGGTTGCAGCACAGGTTCTTAACCACTAGGCCACCAGAGCTCCCCATTCTGCAAATACTACATATTAAGGAAGTAAATTATTTGATAAAAACTTTCAGTGATAATGTAGAATCTGTTTTTAATCCTATGAAGGGATCTCTCCGGTGTTTGATTTTTGTTTTATGCAGAGGTTTTCAAAAAAGTGGAATATGCTCAGTTATGGAACATGATCATTAGTTATTTCTGCTGATCACCTCTTATTGTATGCTATTTTGTAAAGGTTCCTAGATTCAAAACAGACTACTGTAGTTTTTTGGCCTTGTGGGGTTTTGTTGTTGTTTTTTTTTCTTTTTTAGAAATGGGTTGCTTTTGATAAAGAATCAAATTTTATTCTACTGTTTATTGAAATTAGAGGATGTTAAATTTAAATTATCTTTCTCCATTCATTTGCCTAAAGCAAAACATTGTTCTCTTTTTAAAATGAATGATGATTGAATTATCTGATTACCTGAAGACAGAAAGAAAAGACGGTGTCTCCACTACACACACACCCCTTAAAAAACTAAGCAAAATATAATCTTCCTTCAAAATCATGTTTTTCATGAAGGTTTACATAGCACATTCTGTTACTCTACTTATTATCCAGAAACATTGGTTGCATTTTTTATATGTGTTAACATTCTCATTAACTACAATCTTATGTTTCACTTTCAGTGATCCGGTTTTCCTGTCCCTTTACGCTTTCATCTTTGCTTTAGAGAAAAATTGTTGATCACATACACTCATGTAGATAATGAAAGAGAGAGAGAGAGTGTGTGTGTGTGTGTGTGTGTGTGTGTGTGTGTGTATAGATGTAGATATATAGTATAAGCCCGTATGATCAGAAAAGGTCACTGCAGAATTCCAGAGGGAGGCATATCCCTGCTAGAAGGATGTTCTTCAATACCATATTGGCATTTAGCTCAGTCTGTAAAAACTCAAATAGAAATCACTTTATTTAAGAAATCTAAGGTAATGGTTCAATTCAGGGAATACCAGAGGAATGTCTATCTGTGTTTCATTGACTATGCAAAGGCATTTGACTGTTTGGATCATAACAAACTGTGGTTGACTCTGAGAAGAATGGGAATACCAGAACACTTGATCATGCTAATGAGAAACATATACTTGGACCAAGAGGCAGTCGTCAGAACAGAGCAAGGAAACACTGCATGGTTCAAAATTGGGAAGGGTGTATGCCAGGGATGTGTCCTGTCTCCATACCTTTTCAACTTGTATGCAGAACAGATTATCTGGGAGGCTGGGCTCTATGAGGAGAAATGTGGGATCAAGATTGGTGGTAGATCTATCAACAGTCTACGATATGCAGATGATACAACCCTGCTTGCTGAAACTGAGAAGGACCTGAAGCGTTTGCTGCAGAGGGTCAAGGACTGCAGCCTCCAATATGGATTGAGGCTCAATGTCAAGAAGACAAAGATTCTCACCACTGGGCCAATTGGCAGCATCAGGATGGATGGTGAAGAGATTGAGTTTGTTCACAGCTTCAGTTTGCTTGGCTCCACAGTCAACATACCCGGCACCAGCAGCAGGAAATTAGAAGACGTATTGCCATGGGAAAGTCTGCTGTTAGGGACCTCTCCAAAGTGCTGAAGAGCAATGGTGTCTCTTTGGAGACCAAGGTGCATCTGATACAGGCCATGGTCTTTGCTATCACTTGTTATGTATCAGAGAGTTGGACAATGACTAAGGAGGATAGAAGGAAAATTGATGCCTTTGAGCTTTGGTGCTGGAGAAGAGTATTGAGGGTACCATGGAGTGCTAGGAAAACAAACAGATTCATCCTGGAAAGGGTCAAACCAGGCTGGTCCTTGGAGGCAAGGATTCTGAGGCTCCGTCTAACATACTTTGGACATGTTGCAAGGAGGGACAGGTCCTTGGAGAGGGTCATCATGCTTAGTAGGGTGGAGGGACAGCGCAGAAGGGGAAGGCCCCCTATGAGGTGGATTGATTCAGTGATTGGGGTAATCGAGATGGGTGTGTCAGAGACACAGATTGACACAGGACAGAGCAGAGTTTAGGGCTGTTGTGATGGCACATAACAACAACAACAAGGTATGGTTGCAGTTCAGTTAATAAAATTTGTTCTGTTGGGCTTTGTTCCCTGGTGCCTAGATTAAATGTGAGTTCATCTTGACGTTTGTAAAATTAGCATCTGAAACTTTGAATATCTGTCCATGAAGATACATAGAATTAAAGGTGTAATGTACAGTTCAAACGAAAAACCTCGAGATTATTTTCCTTTTAAATAATATTTTACTGATTTTGGTGAACGTTTACACAGAAAATTCTGTTACCAAATTACCCAGAGATATGGGTTATTATTTTCATAATACCCTGGGTGTTTTGCTTCCAATAATCTAATTTTCCTATCCCCTTACCCTTTTGCTTTAGAGGAATTGTTGATCATTTGATCTCATATAGATAATTTTTAAAAAGTTAATTCTTTTGTTGTGTAGAATATACATAGGAAAGCAGTTTCTACATGTACCTTTTGTTGCTGCTGCTGTTGTACCATTAAGTACAACCAGTAGTCACGCTTTGAAGAACAGCCCCAAACCTTGCCCTTTCCTATGTCACCCTTACCATCCCAACGCACTTGAACCCTTTG